ATTTGGAAACCTAATGCTTTAGCCTATAAGAAAAATGAGACATCATTACTTGGATGTTTTATACCTCTTGAGTTTGGCAAATGATGTTCATAAGGTGCATCATGCATTATTTTTTTTTATTTTGCATCCGTGGAATAATTTTATACCTCCTAACTTTGAAGTGGGTATGTGCAATAAAGTTGGTGTAATAAAAATTCTTCTTATGATGCGTTAATCTCTATTTTTGCTTGTTTTTTTATTTTTAATATCAGTTATGCTTCAGACACGTATACCATTAATGACTAAGACATTAGGTGTTGAATTTGAAGATTAATGATGAAGAATTATGTTCCGTTTAATGAATAGTAAAATGTTTTATAGTTTGCAATGTAATCTCCTTATTAAATGTAATCATATAGAGATTATGTTGTAAGATGATGAACGAAACTGGAAGTTGTATTTACAGAAGCTGGGAAACTTTTTGAATAAATGATTAAAGTCATTTTTCTTTTATTTGTTTATTTATTTTTTTGCAATATTGCATTTTTTTATTTTGTTTTTCTGTATCATTTCTATATTATTTAAGGATTGTGCTAGAAAATATTCTTGGCGCATGTGCAGTACCTAGTTTACGAATTTATTTTTTTCTGGGAAAGCCTACGAATACATTCACCATCATATGCAGGATTTATATAGCTTATATTCTAATGCAGCTGGCAAATACTTAGATAGTGATATTTTATGCCCTAAAGGCTGCACCGACGTTACTCACTTAACATTACCCAGGGACGCTTGTAACTTGAAGATAAACTACGGACGTGGAGTAACAATGTCCCCGCAACGCTCTTCGATCATATTAGACCGGGAGCTACGGTGTAAAATGGAATCGAACCACTACAAAATTCATGCCTGTCATGGACCTGCCAGGATTTGAACCTGAAACCTGTGGTAACAAAGGCCAGAGTGTTAGTCAATTGGCCATCAGGCCGCCCAAGTTAGTTAAGAAACAAAAACATATTAAAAACTATTCTTACAAATGATTGATGGTATATTTTGAATATATTTCTATAAATAATAGCGTATATCAGAGGGCTTTCCTAAATTTATCTTGGAAGCATGTTTAAATTAACAAAAAAAATAATTTCCAGTCTTTGTAACTGATGTTGATGTTGAATCAATACTGAATTTCATCCAAAATGCCTACATATCTAAGAAAATGCGGATATTTTCATAACTTCTTTAGTATGGTAATTTAGATATTTTTTTACGGCATAATATATTTCGCAACTTAATCACTTCACGAATTTTGTTGTTGATTTTCTTCGTGTTGATCAACATCGTTAACTTCAGCTAGATCCATTTAAAGTACTTATTGGAAAGCACCATGTTTTAGTTTATTTTTAATTCATGCATTTTAAACTTATCTCTCGAAGAGTGTGATAAAATTTGGAAACCTAATGCCTTAGCCTATAAGAAAAATGAGACATCATTACTTGGATGTTTTATACCTCTTGAGTTTGGTAAATGTTGTTCATAAGTTGCATCATGCATTATTTTTTTTTAGTTTGCATCCGTGGAATAATTGTATACCTCCTAACTTTGAAGTGGGTACGTGCAATAAAGTTGGTGTAATAAAAATTCTTCTTATGATGCGTTAATCTCTATTTGTGCTTGTTTTTTTATTGTTAATATCAGTCATGCTGCAGACACGTATACCATTAATGACTAAGACATTAGGTGTTGAATTTGAAGATTAATGATGAAGATTAATGTTCCGTTTAATGAATAGTAAAATGTTTTATAGTTTGCAATGCAATCTCCTTAATAAAAGTAATCATCTATAGATTATAATATAACACGATAAACGGAAATGGAAGATTGATTTAGGGAAGCTGAACAACTTTTTGAATAAATTATTAAAATCAATTTCATATTTTTCAATTCCTTACTATTAGTTCACACTCTCCCTATATATATTGTTCAAATTTCCAATCGTTCATAAAATAGTTTTAATTCCTCCACTCAGGTTCAAATACATTTTTTTTGAACTTGTAGTGGATGACACTTTATGCTTGTACAGATTTTTCAAATATTAATTCATTATTTAAATTTAATTAATTACTTTTAGTTTTTTTTTTTTGTTTTTTTTTTAATTTAAGTTGTATGTATCTACTAATAGATGACGCCAGATGTAAAATCAAAATTTCCACTTTTATTGTAAAGGACTTTTTGCAATATAGTAAAAAAAAAAGTAGGAAATGATATTAATTTTTTTTTATATTACTTGCTATTAAGTGTTCCTGCATATTTCCTATGTTATTTAAGGATATTGAATGAAAATACTCCTGGTAAATATGTAGAACAACGTGTCAACATATTTTACGAGTTTGTTTTCTGGGAGAACATTCGAATATATTTTTCATCACTTTTAGGAATTAAACACCTTATTTGGGATGCACAATGGGTTATACATGCAGCCACTAAGTTTTTCTATGACTAATATGATCATACGTCTTCTAGCTTTGAAGATGTTAAACTGTAGGTGCTGGCCTAATTAGAGCAAAGTGGGCAGAAAATGACCGTAATGCGACAAATCAAACAAAATCAAATCTTGCTTTGAAGTCAGCTATTCTGCTTTGAGATAGCTTATTTATCACTTACTTAATGCAATCATCTAGAGTTTATGAGATAAGATGATAAAAAGGTCTTGAAGATGGATTTATGAAAGTTGAAAACTTTTAAATATAAAATATTAAAATCAATTTCCTATTTATTATTAAGTATTGCATAGTTAAGAAAAATGGGTTACGAAACAACAATATTTTAAAAACTATACTTACAAATTATGGATGGTATATTTTGAATATATTCCTATAAATAATAGTCCATATCAGAGGGCTTCCCTAAATTTATCTTGGAAGCATTTTGAAATTAGAAAAAAAAAAAAAAAAAAAAAAAAAAAAAAAAAGATTTCCTGTCTTTTTAACTGATGTTGATGTTGAATCAATACTGAATTTGATCCAAAATGCCTACATATTTAAGAACATGCGGATATTTTCAAAACTTCTTTAGTATGGTAATTTAGATATTTTTTTACGGCATAATATATTTCCCAGCTTAATCACTTCACGGATTTTGATGATTTTCTTCGTGGTGATCAACATCGTTAACCTCAGATAGCTTCATTTAAAGTACTTATTGGAAAGCACAGAGCTTTAGTTTATTTTTAATTCATGCTTTTTAACCTTATCTCTTGAAGAGTGTGATAAAATTTGGAAACCTAATGCTTCAGCCTATAAGGTGAAGGAAACATCATTACTTGAATATTTTATACCCTTGAGCTTGGTAAATAATGTTCATAAGGTGCATCATGTATTTTTTTTATTATTTTGTGTTCGTGAAATAATTTTATACCTCCTAACTCTGAAGTGGATATGTGTAATAAAGTTGGTGTAATAAAATTCTTCTTATGATGTGTTAACTTCTATTTTTGTTTTTTTTTATTGTTGATATTGTTTATGCTGCAGACGCCAGTACCATTAATGACTAAGACATTAGGTGATGACATTGAAGATAATGAACTTCGGTTTAATGAATAGTAAAATGTTTTATAGTTTGCAATGTAATCTCCTTATTAAACGTAATCATCTAGAGATTATGATATAAGATGATGAACGGAATTGAAAGAGGGAGTTAGGGAAACTGGAAAACTTTTTGAATAAATTATTAAAATCAATTTCATATTTCTTCAATTCCTTCTATTAGCTCCCACTCTCCCTATATATATATCTTGTTCAAATTTTCAAAATAAAATATTTTTTGTTCGTCCACTGAAGTTCAAATACATTTTTTTTGAACTTGTAGTGGATGACACTTGATGCAAATGCAGTTTTTCAAATATTAATTCAGTAATTCAATTAAATTAATTAATTAATTTTTTTTTAGATTTAAGTTGCATGTATGTAATAATAGATGGCGCCATATGTAAGTTTAAGATTTCAACTTTATTTGTAAAGGACCTTTTTTGCAATATAGCAAAAAAAAGTATTAATTGACTTAATTTTTTTTTAACATTGCTTGTTATAGTGAAAGCTACCCTTGCGAATTCAAAAGCAAGAATTCGAATTCAAGGGAAGTTGGTTCATGAATTATCCATTCAAAATAAAGTTCGGCAATATGATTCGCTTTCAGACCTGCTTTTTAACATTGTTTTTGGAAAGTTAATGACAGATTCTGATATAAACTTGAGGTGACATATTTTCTACAAGTCTGTTCAGATTGTAGCTCATGCTGAAGATGTTGTAATCATTTCCTTTTCTTTTGAAGAATTAGAGGAATCTTTCCGAGTTTTGAATAGGCTGGAAATAACATCATACCATAAACCAGGTAAAAATGAAATATATGCTTTCGTCAAGAGAAATGTGTCAGGATACATTCTATATTACCTTAGGTACTTGCACTTTTGAATACTTTAATTGTTTTTAATTATTTTCCAATAACGTTTTAATACTGAGTGGATTATCGATTTAGTATCGAGTCTCGGAAAGCAATAACTTCAATGGAAGATACGTTATACTGTAAGTCTCTGTCAAATTAGCCTAAAGTGTGCACAAAATGACCGTAGAGCAATATACTAGACCAATCGATGACACCAGAAGATTCAAATTTACACTTTATTTCACATTAGATACGCATGGTACCAGTGGGCCACAAATCAGTCTTCTGCTGTTTGTTTGTTGTTTCTTATCCCACTTGGCTGGCCAAGCCCACGAGCCCATACGTACTCATGATTGAAGGGGAAGGAATCAGCTTCTGTTGTGATGGAGTACCCGTAGGTAGAAGTCTGACTTTGGCTTCGTGACGCTCTTACAATCATAGGAGACCGGGACCTACGGCTTATAGTGGATTCCGAACCACTACAAACATCCACGGCACCGCCGGGATTCAAACCCGAAACCTGTGGCACCGAGCGCCAGAGCGCTAGACACTCGGCCATTCAGGTCCCAAATGTGTGAATGCCAACTGCACGCGGTGTTCCCAGGTGGTCACCCACCCAAGTACTGACCGCGCCCAATGATGCTTGACTTCGGTGATCTAACGAGAACCGGTATATTCAGCATGGTACGGCCGATGGCATCAGTCTTCTAAAAGTTTTAATAATCCTTAGTAATTTCAGAGTAACTTATTAATACTGACGTGGATTTTGTTACTTTCAAATCCCAAATTAGAAACCAAAAATATTTTAATAAGCTAAAGAGAACTTTTTGATTGAATGTCAGAAGATGTGTTGGTCATCACTTTATTTCAATAAAATCGAAATGCAACTAACAATGATAGTTTCAAAAAATAAAACCTTTTTTCGTGAAATGTTAGTATAAAATAATTTCTAAAAAAGCAAAGTTGCTATGCTACTTAACGTCGAAAAACACAAATTTGGGTAAAATTCAAATTTTAGATTTGGTTTATTGCTCTACGGTCATCTTGGAAACACAGACTCTAAACAGACAGGGACATATCGTTAAAGTGGATTCCGAACCACTAACGAACATCAATGCCACCGCGAGAATTAAAACCTGAAGACTGTGACACCAAAGGCCAGAAACCTAGCCACTTGATCACTAGGCCACCAACTTTTAGAAGAAAATGTGTTATACCACGAAATAAATATAAATTATGAAGATGGAAAATTATGGAACGCAAAAAAAATTTTGAAAATTGCATAATATTGCATATATTTTAATACGATTATAAAACATATATAGAACAAAAACTTAACGTGACTGTACAAAAAAAAAAAATATTTCATTCTAATAGCATTCTGCTGTTTCTGAATATCAATTGTCAATTCTGAATATCAATCGTCTGAATATCAACCTCTTCCCTTGAAGAGTCAAACGATATTATTTGAAACTTAAAGTACCTTCAGATCCAATAATTAAAGACTTATTTGAATACACATCAGATGTGCAGATTCGATTTAAGAGAAAAGACAAGCAAATATCCGAAGCACACAAGATTCACAAAGATACACCTCCAAGTTTTAAAGAGAGAGAGAGAGAGAGAGAGTTTATTCAAACACATATCTCTACGGGAATTGGGAATCCCAAATAGAAAATATTTTTCCATAAAATGCAAATTAATAGAATTTCCATAACTCTCTTTTTTTTTCTTATTCTAAAGACATCAAGATTTCTAGTTCATATTTTAAAGCTGACTGAATAAAATCGAAGGTCATAAACAATGCATTTAATTCAAAAGGAATGAATGAATATACCGGAATGGCATTAACCGTTTTGTTATGTATGTATATATTTTATCTTTCCATATTTTAATTTATTTTTAACATTTTGGGGTCATAAATTTCATTAGAAAGTTGCAGTTAATATGATTAAGGTAGAGAAAAGATTCGTATTTAAATATATAAATAAATTGAATTTATTGAAACGGATTCCTTTTTTAATCATTTTCTGTTGTGATCGATACATGTGGAATCTTTTAATAAATCACATTAACAAAGTCTTAATGGAATTTGGTGTGTTTTTAAATTAATGTCTGCCTCATTTAATATTTACCACTATTTTTGAAGTTTTTTAAACTGTTTAACATGAAACAGTAAGGAAATATAATGCAGGTACATAATAAGTATGATATGCATTTTTTTAAAACTATTTACAATAATAAGGGTTTTTATATTTGTTGCATTGTCCTTTGATAAAAAAATTTCTCAATGAAATCATTGTGCCATAAAATGTTTTAAGAAAATTATAGTTGTGCTTCCTCCTACACACTGGCAAGAGCGCCACCTGTTGTATTCAGGATAAATGGTCAGTTGGATCCAGACTATCATTCGAGAAAAGTTCTCTCTAGCAATTCACTTCTGTTGAGAAACATTTAATTTACAGTATCTAACAAAGAGAGGAAATATATTTAGCGCAACAATGCGTATTACTTGGTTTACAGACTCTAACCCAGAGTTTTTTTTTCTTTTGTTTTGTTGCTCTACGTTCATTTTATGCTAAAACTGTGTAAATTAAAACTGTATGTTATTTACTTTAAACTAACTAGACCAGGACTTACAATTTAAAGTGGGTTCAGAACCATTAAAAATTAATAAATCCCACCACCAAAATCCGAAAAACAGAGCTCCAGCCAATTATCAGGTCGCTCTCCCTCAGAGATGATGTACATTTCTTGCATCCTGAGCATATCCGAGTTTCCAATTTTCGGCTTAGAAGTGGAGTCATCCGTGTGCCTTCATTTATCTGTTTTTAAATGTCGTAAATATTGTATGACTCCAATTGTACGTACAATAATTATATTTTTAATACGATCATAAAACAAATATTAAAAAAAATGTATTTAATTCTGACGACATTCCGGCGTTTCAGAATATGAATCGTCGATTAAAAAACTCCCTGACCTCCCTCCTGAAGAGTCAAACGATATTATCCGAAACATAAAGTACCTTCAGATCCAATATTTTACGACTTATTTAATTACACATCAGATTTGCAGATTCGATTTAAGGAGAAAATAAAAGCAAATATTCTGAGTACACAAGAATCACAAAGATACACCTCCAAGATTTAAAGAGAGAGTTTCTTCAAACTCATATCACCACGGAAGTTGGGAATCAAAAATAGAAAATATTTTTCCATAAAATGCAAATTAATAGAATTTCCATAACTCTCTTTTTTTTTTCTTATTCTAAAGATATAAAGATTTCTAGTTCCTATTTTAAAACTGACTGAATGAAATAAACGTGCATTTAATTCAAAAGGTCAATGGAAACAGTGCCTTTTAACGTTTTTTTTAACCTTTCCATATTTCAATTTATTTTTAACGTTTTAGGGTCATGAATTTCATTAGAACGTTGCAGTTAATATGATTAAGAAAAGAGAAGGAAACGCATTTAAATATATAAATGAATTGAATTTATTGAAAAATATTTCTTTTTTAATGACTTTCTGATGTGATCGATATATGTGGAATCTAACAATAAATCCCATTACTGAAATCTTAATGAACTTTGAGAGTTTCGAAATTAATGTCTGTAGCACTGAATATTTAGCAATATTTTTGAGGTTGTTTAAAATGTTTGAGACACACACACACACAAACATGCACACACAAAAAAAAGTATAATAAAATATAATTGATTTACATAAATTTTATTACTATTTTTTAATACTATATGTGATATTAATGATCTTTTTAATATATTAAAGGCTTTTGTTTTATAAAAAATACCTTAACCAAATTATGATATTATAATAATTTTTTTAAGAAAATTGTAACCGTTCTTCCTCCTACACATTGCCAAGTGTGCCCCCTGTGGTGTTCAGCAGAAATAGTTGGGACAGCGGTGATCAGATGAAATATTCAGTTGGACTCTTCAGCCTCTCACCCGAGAAGAAATAACTTAAGAGCAAACCTGAATATCATTTGGCCTACAGACTCCTACCACGGATGTATATTTTGCTCACCCTGCGCGTAGTCGAATTTCGGCTCTTCAGGTTAGATTTGGTTTGGTTTGGTTTGTCCTCTACGGTCATCTTCTGCGCAAGAGGGCTAAACAGACCGGGACCAACAGTTTAAAGTGGATTCCGAACCACTACAAACACCCATGGAACCGCCAGGGACTCAAACCCGAAACCTGTGGTACCGAGCGCCAGAGCGCTAGCCACTCGGCCATTCAGGCCCCTTCAGGTTACAAATAGAGACCTTTCACAAATCTATAAATATATGCCTTTAATTGTTTTAAACATTGTATTTTTCGAATTGTATCTGTGTGGAGTTTGTGCGTGTGTGAATGGAGCCGTAAGTTCTTCAGCCTAAGCCTCAAGTATCTCAACTCAATCTCATCCCACCCCACCCAGTAAAAATCTGGTTGCTCAAGTTGCACACTGCAAAATGTTCCATTGATTTACATGGGCAAATGTTCTTACAAACAAATTAAAAAAAAAATGTAAGTTTAAAATTTAATTTTGCAGAAGAAAGTTCAAATTTTACATGTTCATGTATAACCGAATAAAAATACACTGAAGTGACAAAAGTCATGGGATACCTCTTAATATCGTGTCGGCACTCCTTTCGCCCGGCGAAGTGCAGCAACTCGACGTGGCATGGACTCAACAAGTCGTTGGAAGTCTTCTGCAGGAATATTGAGCCATGCTGTCTCGATAGACGTCCATGATTGTGAAAGCGTTGATGGTGCAGGATTTTGGGCACGAACAGACCTCTCGATGATGTCCCATAAATGCTCGATGGGAATCATGTCAGGCGATCTAGGTGGCCAGATCATTCGTTGGAATTGTCCAGAATGTTCTTCAAACCAATCGCGAACAGTTGTGGCCCGGTGACATGGCGCATTGTCATCCATAAAAATCCCATCGTTGTTTGGGTACATGAAGTCCATGAATGGCTGCAAGTGATCTCCAAGTAGCTGAACAGAAGCATTTCCAGTCAATGTTCGGTCCAGTCGCACCAGAGGACCAAGTCCATGCCATGAAAAAACAGCCCACACCATTACGGAGCCACCACCAGCTTGAACAGTGCCTTGCTGACAGTTTGGGTCCATGGCTTCGTGGGGTCTGCGCCACACTCAAACCCTACCATCAGCTCTTACCAACTGAAATCGGGACTCATCGGACCAGGCCACGGTTTTCCATTCATCTGGGGACCAACCCATATGCTCACGTGCCCACGAGAGTCGCTGCAAGCGATGTCGTTCTGTCAGTAAAGGCACTCGAATCGATCTTCTGCTGGAATAGCCCAAGAAAGCCAAATTTCTCCGCACAGTTCTAACAGACAAGTCCCTTGTACGTCCCACATTGATTTCTGCTGTTATTTGACGCAGTGTTGCTTGTCTGTTAGAATTTACGATTCTTTGCAGACGTCGCCGGTCTCGGTCGTTAAGTGCAGGCGGTCGACCACTGCGCTGTCCATGGTGGGATGTTATGCCTGAAATTTTATACTCTCGGCACACTCTTGACACAGTGGATTTGGGAATGTTGAATTTAACGAAAATGGCATGACCCATGCGTCTAGCTCCAACTAACATTCCGCGTTCAAAGTCTGTTAATTCCTGTCGTGCGGTCATCATCACGTCGAAACCTCTTCACATGAATA